GAAGAGGGGAAGGTCAAGAGTACTCGGACACCTAGACGTGCATGTATGAAGAAGATAATGAACCTGAAAGAAGCGAAAGAGGTATGTAAGGATCGTGACACTTGGCGATCTGTTCTCTCAGGCTACCCCGTTAGGGATTGTGCGTGAAGATAAGTAAGTAAGTAAGTAAGTGATAGATGAAATGAAAATAAAACAATTGACGGAGTACCATGCAAGTTCTAAAAGACATTTTGGTTGTATACATAATGCCTTTGGCTACTAGCATGGTTTTCTGTCAATTGCTTAGTTTTCATTTCATCCATTACCAAGGTACAATAAAAAAAATTATCAGGGTTATTCTCCGCTCTCAATTTTAATGCCGTCAGCGCTTCTTGAGTAAACCCTGGTCGGCGATCGATGGTAGTGTACCACTTAGTCAATGTACGGGTGCAGGCAAACACGTTTCAAAAGTTTTACGTACATAGCGATAGGCTTTTGGTGAGTAATAGTTAAGTGTTAGGGCATAGTATTTCTTGCAAACTTGTGAAGCCCGTTTACACTTGTTTTTATGTCAAGGCATTTTTTCATTTTAATTTTCCTAGGACTAAGTGTTGGCTCGTACTCGCGGTGGGAGTAGGACTAGTTCGGGCTATATAAGGATTTTTTTCGAATTGTGACTTTCGAGATAACTTATGGAATTTTGCCGGAATATCCGGCTTTCTTTTTTTCGGTGTAGACGATATTGTGCAAAAACCACGATCACCCTACAATAAATAATTTTATTTTAGTCCGAAGATTCAAGCTATATATATTTACACACACACACACACACACACACACACACACACACACACACACACACACACACACATACACACACACACACACATACACACATATATATATATGTATTAAAGATATTTATTTTGTAAAACATGAGTAAATAAAATACAAGTGTTAAAAAACTTAAAACGAGGTACATGTTTGCCATTTATGGCAAACAAAAATTATACTACATTAAGTTTACAATTACAATAATAGGTATATAAATATATGAATTAAATTTGATAGGTTAGTGCTTTTGTAAACTTAATAAAATATTTTCAAGTAGAATAATAATGGTGTCAAAGTTAATAATAAATATATTTAATCTGTATATAATTAGAGCAACATTACCTCTCACAAGTTCAAGGTTGGTACTGCAGTGTCAGATTCATGGTTTTTACAAGCTACAACTAAACTAGAAAAAACAAGCTAAAACTAAACTAGAAAAATTTACTACTTTTTGTAATACTTTATTATAAAATCTAAATAAAAACTACAAACCGGTTCGGCAGACAAACCCGCGTGGTTAATTAACTTATCGATAGCTAAAGTTGCGGCGTACATCACTATAGGGCAATACTTTCGGTTGCAGTGTTACCAGTTTATTTTTATAAAAATTGCACACTTTTGCTGCGAGGTAGCAAGTTTAGATTTGACTTATTTGGCCTGTATTTTGTATAATATTTTAATAAATACTAGTTATCGATTATATTTAATTATGTAATATTCAGTATTGGGTTGAAATTGAGCTGAATATATAAATCATTTAACAAAATCCACTACACATCTATATGTAATGATTATTATTCATCACAAACTAATTTAGTTATTGGGAAATATATTTTGGTTAATATATATAACTTGTGTAATAAATTATATTTATTTAAAAATAGATTATTTTTCCCTTTATAAACTATGATGGTCACACTCGGTATTGGACAATAATATTCACAAAGTACGAGTTTTAATGATAAAATTATTTTAATATTATGTTAAAAATACTCACAGATGAAAAGTCACATTGTCCTTTTGTATACTTGACGTTTTTGATTGTTTTTTTCATGTAAATACACTGCAATTCGGCATTTTGTCGGAGCTCGATTTACTGGCACGATTACTTCGGAATGACGCACAACGCGGAGGCGGAGCAACTAGTTTTATATAACGAGTATGAGTCGGACTCTCGTACCTTTTACAGAGGGGTATGCCTTGCGATGCCGTCTCCTTTGGTTTAATACTCAAAGATCATCACACACAGTACAATAAACAACCATTATTACTAATACCACGTTTTTAAATTAAAATATTCAAACTTGCAACTACCAAACCGACAACGTGCGTCGCACTGACCCTAACGATTGTTCACAGGCTATCCCAATGTAACAGGTTTTTTCCAGCCTCGCCGCATACGCCACAAGCGAGCAGATACCAAACATGCCCCGCGTGCTTGTAGTAGTGCGACCGATTCAAGCGGTTGTATGAAGCTTTATCTCTGTTCCGTTTATCTACTCCTGTGCTGTCGGCGCACCAGAAGCAATAAGAACAGAACCCCGAAATCTTGCTAATCATTTTCTGAACTAATCCGGTATATATAAATCCCACTAAAACAGTGCTTGACGCCCATTCAGATCACAGTACTTTGGGGAAGCCGTCAATTAACCCCAAACGTTGTTTGTACGGAATTCGGATTCTTTTCATATATTTTTAAGGTAGGATATCAATAATTTTTGGAAAAAAATATGTCTTTATTACTCTAGATATAAACACGACCTGTAACGATTTTCTTGTTTTTACAGTGAAGTGTAAGACGCCTCCTAAATGTCAATGCGGCAGCACTGCTGTCGGACCATTACCGAAAAGGACCATGTCCTGAATCACTAATTCGAAATTTCTGAACTACTCCTCTTTATATAGAACATGACTATATCCTGGACTGAACAACTTTCCCGGCGGGAGATCTCCCCAATGCCTTTTGCGGACAAAAATCAATAATTGGCAATTTTACAGTTTTAGTGGCGAAAATATTTTAAATGAAATAAGGGGAGAAGCTTGGTGAAGCGTTTTCTAAGCCTCTGTTTGCATCCACTTTTAGATATATAATCTTTGTTTTGATCTCGTAAATATTTAAAAATAAAAAATAAGGCGCATAAAAGTTTGTATAACAACGTTTAGGTTTATGTTTCCGTTGCGGGAATTCAATTAATAGCAGGGTGCCGTAGGAAACGCTCATATATTTTGTCCAATTCTTCGGCTTATTGAAAAAAGAAGGTAGGAACCAACATGGGAAATAGATCGATTCAAATAAAAAAATTAATATTCAAGAACCAATACATTATAGTTGAGTGTGATTCATGTATCATAAACCATAGCATAACTAATCAACAAAGTGATAACTCAAAGCCAAATTGTTTTTGTGTTGTGTATAATGCTTGCTAGACTAATGTACATGGCTAAAGGAAAAAATCCTTTTCTAGGAGCCACTACCGAAGCTATGCAGCCTTTTTATAATCCAACTGCTGCTCCGATTATTATTATTCCGAAAATTTTTCTATGAAATGTAGGTTTAGATGTAACCATGGATATATTATTTCATCAAGCTACATCATCAAGTCATCAAAACAAAATATTAATAATAATCATGTGTTCCAGACCGTTATTCGGTCACGGCGGCAAGTCTCTACGGAGACTAGCTGTGTGTATAGAACACGATAGTTACAGGTACACTCACTATTTCCTTAACCTCATAGTTCGACAGGACGGTATTCAAAAACGACCGGAAAGATCAAGCGCAGGTAGGAACGACAGTTTTTCATGCTTTCTGAGGTATGAGTTCCTGATTTCCAGCTGTTAATGAGAATTTCTTTACAGAAAATTTCAATAGCTGCATTTGGCCCGTTTTTGTGTAGTTAAACCCGTGACTACATGACTAACAGTTTTGGTTACGACCACTAACCCAAGGCAGTAAAAACAGAACACCATTACTTCTGGTTTGCTTCTCGCGTTCTTTTTCAAAATAATATTTCGAACCAGATTTTTAAAAGTGTGATTTTTTGTGTTAATTAAATATCTGTAGGTGCATACTTTATGTGATATAAAAAGTTGATATAAGCCTCCAGCTATTAATATAACTATACTATACTAATATAAGTATACTAATGCGTCTATAAGTCCTGACATCATCGACTGAATGCTAGATCAAACTGTCGTCAAAAAGTCTAATATTTTTGCAATATAATTATATCAGGCATAAAATATTATTGAGATAAAGTGTTTTAACAATTTATTCATAATGATAATTTTTATTGTACTTTATTTTGGCAAAAGCACATCCGTAAGAGTCCACCAAGAAAATCATTAACGTCAAACGACAATCAATATTGTACTATCTATGGTCATAGTATAAGTATTATTTTTGTGATCGTAAATTTTATATTCCAAATTCCAATAGGTTTACTCATCTTAAAAATTAGGATAAAATGACTTGCCGCAATGCTTCACACGCTGGTAGCTGGTATACTGAGAATGGTATGTTTACGCTTATGAATACTATTTGATTATTTGTTTATTTTACCGTAGATTTTGCTCAATAAATATGCTTTAACACTTTCCATAACAAAAACCAGAATATAAATACGAAGTGATTACGTTAGATAGTGAAATTGTTCTAGCTCTGATAACTTACAAAATGATTTAAGGTTAATGACCCTTTTAAATTTCGAAAGGTCTTTGTTAAGTGCTTAGTCTTAATTTATGTGTTTTCATTTTATTAATATTTTTTATAAAGTTACTTAAAATAGGCAGCAAACGCAAAGCGTAACAAAATTGAAAAATAAACCTGGGGCAATTTATTGCGAAAAGTGTTTCGTTCCGAATCGAACATCATGACACGTCTATTTTTGTCTTTACCTTTGTTCATTTTCATTATCCTTAATTATTTTATATTTTGAAAATTGTATTATATTATACTTGATGATTTATATTAATAATATTTCAATTAAAATTATACGTTTCGTAATGTTTCACGAATTTGTAAAAATCCGTTTGTTTTTATTTTGGAACGGAATCTATCGTAGTTATTGTGCTCTATGAGTGTATCGTCGCCATGACAGCCATTTAAATAACTGTCAAGCTGTCAACGGAATTTGTTAACAAATTGGTACGATTTCAGTTGATACGTTTTCCTTTATTTCTATAATATGCCGGATAAAAGAAAATCTTTCGCCGCACCAATATCAAAAACAACGAAATCTAAACGACAGTCGTCAGTACCGACTACATCATCAATTACACGTAGTATTCCTACCTCGTCGAACGAAAAAAATCGACCTAAAATCAATAACAACATGACGGTTATTGGTGGAGACAGAGCAATTAACAAAGCAGACATTTCTGGCCCTGAATTCGATTCTCTTTATCGCCAAATCGCATACGGTAAATTTTTGCGCACTATGCTCGAAGATTGCTTAGTTGAAGAAAAAATAGAACGTGAAGAAACACAAATGGACATTCAAATGGCTCAATTAGCTGACAGATTTAAAAATATCATGAGGCAGCTAGACAAAACAAATCGACGATTGAAGGAAATATCTTTTATTGTTGAACAGAAAAGGTATGCTTTTTACTTTTTTATTTATTATTTTAGGTTTTATGAGTGTCACCGGCATTTTGTGGTGCTGTGGCTGTTTGTCTTTTTTGGATTGTAGTGTCTTTTTATCTTTACACAACACTTTAAGAGGTTATTTGTAAACTGTTAGTCACAGGTTAATTGAAATTTGCTTTATAGCCAGGACTGTAGCCAGCAAGTATGCTGACCCTACGGTTACGCCAGTTAAAGGTTATACATAGTTACAGCCTATATATTATTATTATTAAACACAAACCGTTTACTTCTGAGATGGCTAAGGATCAAATAGTTTTGTTAATGGTGTAATATACCTATCATAGAACTTTGAAGTACTTAAATATTGTTTGTAATTGTATAAAAAATAGCCCACCAACATTGTCTAGTATTCCAAAATCATATTTACATTATTTATTTGAATTACTTGATTAAAACTTAATATCGGCTAAGTTTTATGCTGTGGGTGTGGCATTGACACAGGTTTAGGTACATATAGGTTGACAATAATGTGTGCCTTGTATACACAGTATATAGAAATAAAACCATTATTTGCTGAAAGTTTAAACATAACCATACAACCTATTTAGTTAGATTTAAGGAATTTGTGAATAAATTAAAATACCAAATATGTGACCATGTCAATGTTACTTAAAATATACAAAAGTTTGTTTGTATTGTTATCTGTTATTTACTTATAACTACATTTATTTAATAAAAAACAACAAGGGGTCATGTTCAACAACAAAGATTAATAAAATAATGTTTTTAACAAACAACTATAAACATCAATAACTATGAATTACATTTTTATATACATTACAATTTATATTAGTATACACAACATTACAAGTCCAGTTGATACTTCAGAAGAAGAGCACTATTTTGTGTTTTAAAATTTTCTATTGTGCAGTGCCTTGCTCCAATTTCACAGCTGACGTTAAGTTATGATAGCACTCTACCAATTTAAAATGAAATTGTTTATACACTTACAGGTTACTTGATCTCAAATCTCAAGATTACACCAAGTTTCATGAAATATCAAAAAACTCTAATGCTGTAAGTATTTTAAGTGATCTTGCAGCAACAGAGCAAACATTTTTGGATAAACTAATAACAAAAAATGTTGATTTTGGTTATGATAAAGAGAGTGGACATAAGCAGTTACTAGATGCTGTTAATGATGCAATAGAAGGCTTAGAAGAAATTAAGAAACATTCTAACTTAGATTTAAACAAGTTTGAAGAGTATGAAAAGACTAAAACAAATCTTGATGTATTGGAAAAAGTGAAATTAGACTTAGTGAGTTTAAAGTCCGACTTTGAATCAAAATTTCCAAAATTTAGTGAGAGATTACTGAAAGAGGCCTCTGAAAAGATTGCAACAATGATGAACAACGATGATGATGATGAGGATGATGGTATCATCAAGTAAAAATTTCAAATCAAAATCAGTCATCTGTATAGATGACTGATTTTGATTTGAAATTTTTACTTTTATTTATTTACCTATTTTACTAGCGCATTTGCAATGGTATCCCAATAAAATTTGTTGAATTTCTGCAATTAATAATGCTAGTAAAAAGCTATAAATAAGAAATTAACAAGAAGACACTTGAACATTACATGATTTAATATTGAGATTTTTTTTATAGAATAAGTGTGAACTGAGCACACAGTTCATTGGGTGGTAAGTGGATGCTGTGGCTCATAGACATCTACATCTATCTTTGATTAAGAATCAAAATGTCAATGCATTGTCATCCTTGAGCACTAAAATGGAATGCCTCATTTCCAGTGAAACAGGGTCTCCGTTTCTCTACACTCACGATATGGAACTCAGCAGCATTAAGCTGCTATTTTACGCTGGTATTCTGTGACTCTACCATGTAAGAAATAGTTTCTCTCAACATGTAGTATTTGTGTAATTATGTTAAAGAAATCATTAAATAATATTAACACTTACGAATGGTACCAGTTGAATCTGTGTTCTAGAATGACAATACATTTACATATAAATAGATTTGATGTTTATATAGATAGTGCTGCATTGTAATAGATATTTTAAATTTTGACAGAAACATTTTATCAGGTCATGATTTACATATGTTCTGTCATAATTAGTACAACTAATAAGATGTGTTATAGACACAACATATAATAACATCTAATGCATATATACATTTACGTGGTAGAGCTATGCTGCAGCTATATTACTGTTATAGTTTTAGCATGAATGTATTGGCTCAATCTGGGAAGGACCACACTCTCACAGAATACCAGCGTGAAATAGTAGCTTAATGCTGCTTTATTTTGTATGGTGAGTGTAGCAAACCGGGGACACTTTTTACTGGAAACGAGGCATTCCATCATAGTCCTCACAGGTGACATCTGCATTTTGTTTTGTAATCAAGGATAGATGTAGATGTCTATGGGCCGCAGCAACCACTTACCATGAGGTGAACTGTGTGTTCGTTTGTCACCCTATCCTATAAAAAAAAAAGATTTTCATGTCATATTATGTAGATAAATAGTAATAATAACACAACAGCATTATTCGTAATTTTTATCCGATCCCTAGTCGCTACGATCGTTCTGGAACAGATGTACTGCAGTATAATTATCAAAATCCTCATTGGACTTGTCTTGCGTTTTTCATTTTTAAACAAACAAAATAGCCAGTATGATACCATTTTTATAGAGCAATATTGTTTACAATACAGTTCATAACAAAGGAACAATAAAACAATTACATAAATAATAAAACAATTACGATGCTTTTGTGTTTCGACGAAGTTTACTACAAATCTAAGCTAAAACGCGCATGCACCCCACTTGTGACACGGCCAGACTAAATGTAGAGATGGAAGCTGAGTGGCTTAACACTTTAGTAATACAATATCATAGTATTCTAGGAAGCCAGGTTCAATCCTCAAGAGTACCAATGAAATTGTCAATTCCATTTTTAAGTGCTGTTTTACTCCTAAAAAAACATTGTGAGGAAACCAGCATGTCTGAAAAAAAATATTGTCCATATATATGAAGTTTGCCAACATAAGTCCTGACATATATGCGTGGCGAACATTTTCTTGATCTAAAACCCTCACAAAGTCGGAGCAGGTCTTTGCCCAGGAGTGGGATATATAGAGGCTGTTATTTTTTAATGATTGTAAAAAGTCAACTTGATTAAACCTGTAGATGTAGGTTGGAAAGCAACTACAACAAAGTTAAGAACCCACAATTTATTTTTTTGTACAAACTTTTACTGGGTTGTGATTTAAACTTAAAAATTATTAAATGATTTAGATCATACATAAAATAACTATTAATAGTAGTACCATATAAACGACTTCTATGTATATAATACTGGGTGGGCCCTGCGGCCTTTATACATTGTGCACTAAGTAACGGTCAATTCTCTGTAATTTCTTTAGTCGAGTATGAGCTGGCGGGAAGACTAGTTCTTTGTTTGTCAACCGACTTCAAAAAGGAGGAGGTTCTCAGTTCTAGTTCTACTGATTCTAGTTGAACCGATTTTTAATTGAAAGTTTGTGCTTCTCATGTGGTCCCGCATATATTTGATCAAGATCTGACTAGTATTGAATAAAAATATTATTTACGGATTTTATCGCGTTTAATTACTTTAATTTATTTTTATTATTATCCCGACGTTTCGGGTGCTTTACAGCGCCCATGGTCACGGGGGAGACTGAGATGTTTGACGTCCCAATGTCATAGTTAGTCCGGCTACCTTCAGTTTTTTAATATTAATTTTTGGTCCGATTTACGCAAAAACGAGCTTATAGTATCATGAAGTCTTGCAGTGGTATGCTTGGGTTTGGGTTTAATTTTGTTAATTATAGGATCCCAAGCATCACTGCAAGACTTCATGATACTATAAGCTCGTTTTGCGTAAATCGGACCAAAAATTAATATTAAAAAACTGAAGGTAGCCGGACTAACTATGACATTGGGACGTCAAACATCTCAGTCTCCCCCGTGACCATGGGCGCTGTAAAGCACCCGAAACGTCGGGATAATAATAAAAATAAATTAAAGTAATTAAACGCGACAAAAATCCGTAAATAATAGTTTTATTCAATGTGTAGTGTTCGCGTAAATTTAAGAAATCATTATCTGACTAGTAGTTTTAGAGTTATCCTTAATAATACGTATTTAACTGACTGCAACTACATTGATGATGTTTTTATTTATATTCAAGTTTGTTGTACAAAATTTTTGACTTTACAAGTTGTTTCGTAAACCACGAATGTCGATGTAATTTTTGAAGTTTATTTCAGATAAGTATGTAACTTTGTTTCGTATTTGCCTAGAAACGTTAACGTTTACGACATAATTGAAAATACAACTGCCATCTTAATTTATCCATCTTTTCACCCGCCCGCTCCCGCTCGATCCAGTTTTGTATTACAGTTCTTGTTCAGAATTGCCGGTCTAGTAGTATTCATAGAAGGATTTGACTATATAAAAAGTAGACTTGCAACTAATATTCGTCTATTATTTGGTATTCGGCCTATTTCAGCTAACCGAATACAAACAACTTTTGTAAGATAAAAGTAAAATATAAAACTATTCGACAAATAATGCCTATGTACTCGATTTATGAACACTTAAGATGTTTTGTTGTAGTCAGTCATAGTAGCTTACTCTTTTTCTTCTTGTAGACAATCCCAGCTTTAGAGTATGATACTCTGAAGAGTAAATACCAATTCCTTCCCGGCCACTGACCCAGTATTCCTGGCCGAATACTTTTGCCCTATATTCATTCAGGAAGCTTGCAGAAAATTCGGTATTCAGCATGAGGCCGAATGTACCATTCGTTGCAAGTCTACTAATTAAAAAACCACATTTCGGGATTACTTTAATGGTATCTTATGCTAATTATGTAGAGGACTGAGCTTAGAAAAGAAAGGCCTTCCTTGACCTCCCTGCAGTATGGTAAATGCCACTATTTACATATACTTACAACTAGCTGGTAGGATTCTTAGATATCCATATATATAAAAATGGTTGTTGGAAACTGGTTGACAAATCACCAAGAAAATTGGCTCATATATTTTTTTTCATAGAAGAGATTGTTGAACTGGCCATTCTGTTGGAACGCACCACTAGATGGAGTTCCAGCCGATCGCTATGAAAATTGATACCACACGAGCAGGGCAATGTCTGCCAGGTTTTGCTAGTTTAGTATAGAATTTTAAAGTAGGTATGTTGTTGTTTTGTATAATACTTTTACTGTTAATAAATTTATAATATAACACAATATTGTCTTTCATTTACTCAAATTCTTATAACTGAAAAAAAAAATGCTTATAATGATGGTACAATGAATGAAATTGATAAATTAAAAATAAATCCTTTCTTTGGTTTTGGTTTCGCGGAAACGACCCTTAACAATTTAGATGAAATTCTGTGTGTATTTCGATGTTTTACTTTACAAGTTGAACGAAGTAATTTTTTTGATGCCGATTAATGCTCTGTCGCCCAGTTGTCAAGTAATCTTGACAGTCCACTTTTTGTAATGGATATAAATTAGGAAATAATTTTTAGTTTTTAAGTGACAACAATAAAGTGTCAAGTCAATGAAAAAAATTGGTTGACTCTGCAGGCCATCCCTGGGACTTGCCACTGATTTCAAAAGCAAAGTGCTCCAAATTTCACCAAATTATGTAAATTGCTTGTGTTACGAGTGGTTCACGCCAGTAGTCGAATGGCGGATTCGAACCCACGACCTTTTTGAGTTCGTGGTCCGCGCCCTGCCATTAGGCTACTGTCACTATGACATCTCGAATGTAATATGAATATGAAATCTCGAAGTTATGTTAAAAAAAAACATGTTTTTTTAAATTCTTTCTTCGACATCTCACGAACGAATGAACCGATTTTTATTTTCCAAACGGCATTTGACGTTATTTTTTGAGGTTAAGAGCTAATTAGTTTTTGAAATTAATCGGCAAAGCCGTTTAAAAGTTATTCCATAAAAACAGTTTTTCAATTTTTTTATTTTTGAAATTTCTCAAAATTTACTCGTCCGAATCAGTTCATATTATCACCAAATCTATTCCACATTGAGATCTTAAGAACAACGCGAACCGCATCTCAATCGATCAAGAAAAGTTATGAAAGGTTTACATATTTACACACACATACATACATCCGTACGGACGTCCACGTGAAATTAGTCAGATTAGCTTCCTGGGATCTCAAAACGTCGAGGTCTGATGAAAACTCGATTTTCGAAAATCTGGGTGAAACCAATAACTTTTTTTGAAATTTTCTAATTAAATTTGAAACTTTCAATACATTAATATACACAATAAAACAGTGTGGCACATATTTTTTCACCTGTAATAATAATACCATTGACTGATGTTATGTAGGCTGTGTAAGATATGTGACTTGAGGCTTGATAGTCTAGTCTAGTGTTCGTAAGCGCCCCTAATGATCATGTGGTCCCGAATTCGAAGTCCAGGTTGGACCAAAATCAGTCAATGGGGAGTCTGTAACGACATTCACAGTAACAGCCTGGAGTCAGGAAGTTGGGGGTGTTACACATCCGTGCCTCGGAAAGCACGTAAAGCCGTAGGGCCTGGGCCTGATCTCTCTCCGATCATGTCGAATTGTCCCATCGGACGATGTGAATGAGAGCAAGCACCATACATGATAACAACCACAAAGCACGGTCCTGAGCCACTGGCATCCATCGACTTCCTGCATGTCTTACCGGATCGTCACTAAAGTTGTTCAAAACGACTATAAATCAATAGCACTCTACAGACTGTAAACTATAAATTTCTAGCGCGCTATTAAATACGCTATGTTATAGCGCGATATTTATAAGAAAGCGTGTAGGAGGCCGGTAAGCGCGTTAAGTTTTACAGCACGTTATATCATTACATTACATGTCGTTCATTGGGTAGATCGCGTGCTATATAAGAACATTATTTCGTAATAAGTCGCATTTTAGACTAAAATAAAATAAAGCGGTAAAGAAAAACCAATGCACGCGTTTTCATACTTTTCAGGCTTACTGATTTCTATAATCCTAAAAAGATTTTTAGTTATGTACTATTTAAAATAGAATTAATTTTATTTTTAGAATCGAAATAAAATTAATTATTTTTTATTATAATTGACGTACCTAAACATTATTTTAACCTTAATATAAATTATAAATCAAATAAAAGCGTATTTAAAAGTTTATTTATTGTATTTATAAAAATCAATTATTTACATACACTATTTATTTATACAGTTTTGTCTCTATATTTTATTTACATTTAATAACATTAGTTAGGCTTCTTTTATCACAACTGTGTCCTTTGATCTTTTATAAATGTACAGTATACACGAACTAAACAACGTCTAACATTAAATAAGGTCGCGCGCGATGAATAGCGTGCTACGAGATCAAATTTTCGTTACACGTCCTCTCTCAACAGCGCTGCTGCTAGAACCAAAGAGTATAATAAGTATATACAGGAAACTAATTGCCGCTAGATATTAATACTTGATAGCGCCAAAGCGCAATAGCGCCATGGCGACTACATACATAACACGCACTATGTGTTATGAAGAGATAGCGCGAATATGGCGCTATGCGCTTTATTAACCACCAGTACCCGGTTGACCGAGCTTTGCTCGGTATTTTTCGCTCGGTTTTTTTTCAAATTCGTGTGTTTTGGAAATTATATTTAGATACAAATTACATACTGATGAAATACGAATAATATTTTTGATCTTAGCGACATAATAGAAAAAACTGAACTGGTTATTTGAATAAAAAATCATGAGTGCAATTAGATTAATTTAAATTTTCGTGTTTTTAAAAAAATAATAAAAAAAAGGGCTCGAAAAAAATAGATTTTCTCAAAAAAAGAAAGGAACTTGAAAAAAAAATTAAAAAAAGTCGGTCTGTCGGTCTGGGCTCGGCCCATGGTATTACGATTTTGTGACCGCCCAATATACCAATTAAGCTATTTGTAATCATTAATAAACTGTCAAAATTTACCTTCTTATTCTAACGATATTGTAGCAGTTTTTCATTGCCTAAAAACACGGACAAAAAGCCATTTTCTAAAAATAAATCCTAGCTAGATCGATTTATTGCCCCCGAAACTCCCTGCACACAAAATTTTATGAAAATCGTTGGAGCCGTTTCCTAGATTCCGATTATATATATTATATATATATATATATATATATATATATATATATATATATATATATATATACAAGAATTGCTCGTTTAAAGGTATAGGATTAGTCGTCACTCCATCTAGTCGGAGGATGCCCTTTACTTCAGCTGCCGGTACGAAGCTGCAACTTAAGAACCTTTTTTCCCCATCGGTTATCGGTTCTTCGAGCTATATAGCCGGTCTACTACCTACTCTGGTTCTGCTGCTGATATCCCCGTTTATAAGTTTATCACGCAGAGAAACTCCGAGGATAGCCCTCGCCAAAGTTCGCTGAGCGACTTTAAGCTTCCTCATGAACCAGCAGTAAAGGACCACGTCTCAGATACATAGGTCGTCATTGGCAACACTCACTGGTTGTACAATCTAGTTTTGAGGTATGTCTGACGAGAAGATGTGTCGTCATCACCCGAACGCTGCCCAGCCGAGTTGAATCCGTCGATTGACCTTTCGGTCGAAGTTGGACTACTTATTTGTCCCAGGTAAACATACCCGTCAACAACTTCGAGCTTAGTGCTCCCAACAACTACCGGCATAGGTGTGACATGGACATTACATATGACTTTCGTTTTGTCCATGTTCATCTTAAGACCTATCCGTTGGGAGACACTATTGAGGTTATTGGGCATAGTGCTTTAGATCCTCCATCGATTCTGCCATAAGGAGTATGTAGTAGGCAAATCGAAGGTGAGTGATGTACTCGCCATTGACGTTAGTACCGTATCCTTTCCAGTCCAGTAGCTTGAAAATTCTTCCAATGCAACGGTGAAGAGTTTCTGGGATATTACGTCACCCTGTCTTACACCTCTCTGCAGCTAGATAGGTTTCGTTCTCTGGCTTTGTACTCGGATAGCCACCGTAGCCCTACTGTACAAACACTTCAGCAGTTCGATATACCGACAGTCTACTTAGTACCGTTGAAGGCACTGCAGCACCGCCCAAATTTCGACGTAATCAAAGGATTTCTCATAGTCCACATACACAGGACAAAGTTGCAGATTGTACTCTTCGGATTTCCGTAAAATTTTCCGTAGGGTTTGTATGTGGTCTATGGTGTTAAAGCCTTTTCAGAAACCGACTTGTTTGGGAAGCTGTAAGTCATCGAATCTGCGTGCGAGACGATTCGTAATGACTCTCGAAAACTCTCGAAAGCACGTAGACGCGGCTCAGAGAAGATTAATATATAAATACATTTATAAATCATAGCTTCTCAATACATTTATAAAAATGTAATGTACATATACAAAAATGAAAGTAGTTTTACACTTTTACAAAAATAAGTGATATTCATTCTGTAAACTGTACTGTGTACTGTTAACTGTACGTATTTGTAATGTACCCCCAACTTCTGTGTTTCTCCAGATATTGTTATAACTTATAAATTTTTATGTTCTCATGATAAGTGAATTTTGTATTCTTAATGAGAATAAAGTTCTTAAACCACAAATACTAGGAACAGACACAAGCTAGTAGTACCAGTTAATCGACTCCAATGAGTCACTAATTCATTCTTGAGGCGATATATACGCTTTTACAACAAAATCTCAGAAATTATAACTAAATTTGACCTGCACAAAGCTCAAAAACTTTATTAAACTAAGTTTGTATAAAAAGGGTTATTATACGAGTAATATTAAGGAATTTATGGATGATAATAACCTCTGGGAAAGGTGGTCGCTACCAAGATATTTCTTATTCATTTTGTGTTGTTAATTGTAACATACATTTCATGCTGGTTCTTCCCAGGACAGAGGATTTTTTCCGAACCAGTGGCGAATGAAAAAAAGTGACTCAATAGTATTATTTATAATCTATATTGAATAAAATAGTTTTTGTTCTGTTCTGATTCATTTCTATACATCGCTGTTGGCAATCTGTACTCGATTAACAATCAAAACTATGGAGTGTAAAAGTAAGGAGTACCAACTCCCATAGTAGAATAGTTGAAAAAGTGGCCATCTGTAAGCAGTAAATAACAGTTCAAAAAACCTCCAGCGCTGGAGTAGCTACTGGGATGAAACGAACTTAGCAGTTGTCGACGGTTTAAGTGTGCTGCTAAACTGCTCAGTAGCTCTAAAATCCATAATAATTTTATTTAGTAAATATAATCTCGAAAAAATCGTCTATCCCACTAATATTTTTCGGTGCGTTCTTTAAAGTATGCCCCGTAGTTATAATGGCGCCACCCTTATTTAACGGTTTTCTATGGCCACTTTTTAATACACAGTCTGTACTCCTTACTTCTACACTCCATAATCAAAACTTTAAGTCTGGTAAAAATGGCTCTCGGGTTCTTTACACTCGTACGAAACAAAGAGGCATCAAGCTACTATTTTACTCTGGTATTCTGTGAGAGCGTGGTCCTGCCCCGTTGGAGCCGACCCGTTCGTGCTACAACCATAATATAGCTGCAGCGTGACTCTGTGTCGAAAAAATTAAGCTAAATATTGAAATTCATTAGACTTATATTCCAGCGTAAATAAGAATTGTTTTCAGTTTTAAAGTCAAAAAAAGCTAATGTTACAGCATATATACGCCCCACTGCTGGGCACCGGTCTCTTCTCATTTCTGAGAGGGTTTTAGAGCATGGAAAAGTCCCCCGCGCTGTCCCAATGCATGTTGGCGAACCTCACATGTCTTCGAAATATGTTTTTTTCTTATTTCTCAGACATGCAGGTTTTCTTCACCGCTGAGCACGTGGTAAATCAGCACTTAAAATTGCATCTAACAATTTCATTGTTTCAAGCATGTTAAAGTATTTGCGTTCGTGGATTTGTACTGTGACCACAACATTCTTCCGGAATTAGTATAACTAATTTAATAAATAATCAGTGCATAAAAATGTTTAACTAAAATTCAGTGTATGCATTATGATTATAACATAATATACTAATTGGGGTGTCTGAGGGTGTGCGTTAATTACGTTACATATTGTATACAAATTTTCATTCAACAGAGAAAGGATGAACATGAAATGTATTTGTGCAGGCAATGAGCTCTCCCGGCAACTGGACCTGTGGCTCTCCAAGGCGGACCTCACACATGGCCCGGCGAGGGCTATCATAGCGCCGTGAGTAGAACATTATTTTTTTATAGTATAGGGTGACAAACGAGATGAAATGCCTCGTTTCCAGTAAAAAAGGGTCTTCGAGCCTTTTATATTTATAACAGCAGAAAAGCAAACATTATTAATTAAAAGTTGCAATTATGAATGCTAAATTACACCGTTGCTCGGCGGTGAAGGAAAACTATCTCGAAGAAATCTGCATGTCAGTAGAAGGATCCTCTCAGAAATTAAATGCTTGATCCCAGCAGTGGTGACATAGGTGACTTTAGTTTACCTTCACCATTACACTCTGTCAGTCTATTGCTGAACATAGGTTTTTTCCAAAGATTGCCTCACAGGGTGATATTTGCCATAGTTGCCACGCTTGGTAACGGTAACAGGTTACAGTTTTTCAGTTTTTATGCAATTGTATTTTTATAGAAGAGGGGGCAAACGAGCATGCGGCTCACCTGATGTTAAGTGACTACCGCCGCCCATGATCAACCGCAACACCAGGGGAATTGCAAGTGTGTTGTTGGCCCTTTAGAAAGGAGTAAGCTCTTTTCTTGGAGGTCCCCAGGTCGTATCGGTCCGGAAAAATCGCCGGTGGTAAATTATTCCACAGAGAGGTCGCACGCGGAAGCAAACACCTAGTGAAACGTATAGTAGTGGACCGCCAAGCATCCAGATGGTGTGGATGGTATCGGGAGGTTTGCCGCGTAGTGCGTTTATGAAATTTGGCGGCTGGGATTAATCCGAACAATTCCTCAGAGCACTCCCCGTGATAGATGCGATAAAATACGCAAAGAGATGCAACATCTCTGCGCAGCGTCGTTGAATCGAGCGGATCGGAAATCACTCGGTCGTCGACGATTCAAGCCGCTCTGCGCTGGATGAGGTCAAGTGGAAGAAGCTGGTACTTGGGAGCCCTAGCCCAGAGATGGGAACAGTATTCCATGTGCGGCCGAACCTGCGCCTTATAAAGTTGCAGGCGGTGTGCCGGCATGAAATACTGATATACCCTCTCTGCTGAGCACGTCAAGCATTTTAGAAGCCAATTTGGCCATCTCTTCCAAGTGACCATGAAACTGCACGTCACTCGATATGTTGATGCCGAGGATGTTTATCAGGAAGATGCTGATACTCTTCTCCTGGTTCAGTTTCCTTCTTACTTGGGTGTACCACGGGTTGATATGTGGTAGTCATAGATTTATTATACTACTACGTATGGACCGGGTCATTGAACAAACAAAATGGCACCGACTCCTTGGTGCGAAAATGTTTATGGAGCACCAACGCGGACACCATTGCGTGCCGTGCGTCGGTGTCCGTTCCACTTTTAAATATTTTGCACTATTTTAGGGTAAATCTACTAATATAGATAGGGCTTTAGGTGTTTCTTCAATTTGACAGAGTTTTGGATAATTTGGATTAAAACCGAACTTCAGGTAACAAAAAGAGCTAGAAAAGTGTAAAATGAATTTTTTTTCATTCTGTGTATCGGAATAATGGTATAATATTTTACTTATTTACATATTCGTACTATTCATATTATAATTTGGAAATAAGAAGTCTTCTTTATCATAAATCTCAAGACTTTTAATCGTGAAATGATATTCAAATCTTGCAATGATGTTATAATTTAGGGAGTATAAAAGGAGTTCTACAGGTTTTAGGGTAAAACCAAAAAGTGGAAACACTGGTTCCGTGGTAGTTCATGAGTATTTAACAGATGACGCTGATTTATTCTATGCTTAAACCGTGATTTTTTTTTATTCACACTGCCATATCTTGTCATTTATATCGATGGTGGTATCGGTCATGCCACGTAAGATGAAATTAAATAGAGTTCACTGCGCATGTACAATCAAACAGAAAAATGAAAATTATTTGGCATTTTAATATGTAAAAAGTCAAAGGTCAACATTATAACTACACATCAAAGTCTCCACCAAAACTGAACGATATATTTATATATCATCGTTAGGTTTTAACTGCTTCTAAATAATATTCTGTATTTTATGTACACATAGTTAAAGAAATAAACTATTTTGTATTTGTATTTTTGTATTTGTAATGGCTGTTTAAACAATACTATGCGATAGCCTTCGATTATAAGGATATTTTACATGCAATAATTTGCAAAAAAATCATCTTGTAGAAAATAACAAAATATTTACAACTTTATACAATATACTACGAGCTACGCTATTTTAAATAGTCCCAAAATAATTTATAAAGTAAATAAATATTTGCACACTTGAAAATATTATAGAACAATATTTTTTAAAGTACAAAAATAATCGCAAAAATTTAAAATTTTATAACACAAACACTTTCGATATCCATATACACAAGACGACACAAAAGGTGCGCGGGCGACGGGACGCAGGCAGAAACTACTTGGGAGTAGCGCGTCGCCCGTTGCTATGGTTTCGCTTCCCCGTACCTCACACCTCACCGTGCCGACACCTATTTTTCGGTTCTGCGCACTTCCATGACTCGTGGCGTTACCTATAGTGGATATCTTTTCACCGCCACTACTTGGTAAATATATGTGACTTTAGTGTCTTTTCTTATATATTTACAGGCATGCTGGGTATTCATATTGTGGCGCGTGTGCAGCCTACGCCTACAGACAAGTCAGCCCTGTTGTAGTGTAAGTAATAACTAAATCTTTTCGAAAATTGTAAAACTTCTGAACTTTTCTCATGTCATATTTAGAAGCCACTATCTTAGATACTAACCAGAGAATACATTTTTGTATTTTTGTTGCTATTAGTAGTTGAGTCCAGTAATTCCTTCATGGGACAATGTATACGCTTTTACAATAAAGTCCCAGAAAATATGCAGACCTTATTTATCAAAAAGTTTAAAATATTTATTAAGCGAAAATTGTTTAGTAAAGAGTATATGATGTTTAATGACCCCTGGAAATGAGGTGGTCGCTACCAAGCTTTTTCTAAATGTTTTCATGCTAATTGTATAAAATATTGTATTGTAAATGGTGCTTTAGAAAAAGTCCTGTTGGGTTTCTTCCAGGTTCTTCCCGGGACAGAGGTTTTTTCCCGATTCAATGTTAAATGTAAAAATGACTTCCAATAAGTATTACCATGTAATCTAGTGAATCAAAATGATTACATTCTTTTAGTTTTTGGCTCATTCAGAGTTCTAGAGTTGGGGCGGAGCATACCTTAGCCCATTCTTTAATGTAAACACGGGTACCAATTTATAGCTGCACCTTTGACACTGTCCTTCAGTCATCGGTATGGGTATTTTGCATCTCTACGCTTAAACAAATATAATACCTATAGCTATTAATTCCGCCGATTGCTAATTCTACACTTTCTGTGCATAATCATTTTAAAATTAAAACGCCATATTTCGAAAACTATTATATATCTTTTTAATATTAATCTTAAAATTTTGTCGATGATTTGTTTTTAATATGATCCGTTCTTTCCAGCAAACGGATCTTCATTTTGGGCCCCTCCCACCACGTAAGGCTCGGCGGTTGTGCGCTTTCTTCCCTCGACAAGTACCAGACACCGCTCTATGATCTCACCATAGACAAACAGAGTAAGTGAATTATTTTTGTCATCAACTAGCACATGTTAGCAAATGATATGAAGTATATTACTCCACGCGAGCGAAGGCACGAGAAAATCTAATACTAATATATATCATATTGTTGCGCGCCATTATTAATGCCTGGTACGTGGTGAGTTCCCACTAACGCCATCTAGTATCGAGTAGCAGAACTAGGAGAGTCAAGATCTTTCTAGAAAATTTCATACTAGAAATTTCTTTTTTCCGACTCGGGAATCGAACCCATCATGATCAGTAGTCGCGTTTACGACTACTGGACCAACGAAGCAATATATTGTGTCTGAACTAGGGTTGCCACCTTTTTTTGAACAAGTACAGCATTTTCCCCAAAAAAGATGCAAAAATATACCTAATACTTTTGAGAAATTCAGGGAAATAAAGTACACATTTATATTTAATCTTTATGTATTTTTCCATATACATATTTGTTATTGCTTTTCGCTTTGGCCATCAATTATTTATTACGTTTAAAATAATTATAGGAGTCTGAGCAAAACAATTAATTTTTAATTAGATTAATACATCCTCTATTTCTTTCTTCTTTCCATTTTACACTCATGATGGAAAAAAATCTTTCCGTAAAACTTACTTGTTCTTACAATCATAGTTCTTTTATAAAAAAGCGCGTCCGTTAAATTAGGGATAAAATATAGTATTTTTCGTACTATATTATTTTTCTATAATATATAATAGAAATATAGTACGACAGTATATAATATACTGCGGGTGGTAACCCTAGTCTGAACCCATTGACGTACGTTCACGTTTCACGTGTGTATTTCAGTATACGCGGAGCTAGAAGCGACTCGTCAGTTTGAATGGATGGACGTGCAGACCGACGAGGACGAGCACTCCATTGAGATGCACCTGCCTTACATTGCTAAAGTGATGGAAGAGTAAGTCTGTTTTAATACTTACTAACTTTGTATGATTGCCTCCTTACTTAAACCGGGTTCTTTACATGCTGTATTTACCAGTGAAATTGTTCTCACGAAGAAAACTAAAATCTAATAAAAAATATTTTATGGACGTGTGAAGACTTGACAGGGAGATATTGACCCGTATTATTTAGCCTGTAAAGACTGATTTGTAATGTAATTTCAGGAACATTCTCGAGTAAAGCAGATGCAACATGCAACTAACTGGATGTAGTCACAATATGTAGATTCAAATTCATATACTCAAATAATTGCAGTCTTCAATTTTTAATCCACTATCATGTTAAAAAAAACACTATTACACACAATTTTTTTGAGTTATGTTTCGACGTGGTAAATGTCATGCTGGAGCTATATTAGTAGTATAGTTGTAGCACGTATGGGTCGGCTCAACCGGGAAGGACCACGCTCTAACAGAATGCCAGCGTAAAACAACAGCTCAACGCTGCTGTGTTTCGTATGGTGAGTGTAGAGAACCGGAGACACATTTTACTGGAAACGAGATAAGTTAAAATCTCGTTCCATATTATCTCAGAATAATGAATTAGTTTGAATTATAAATAATAGAGTGGACAGTAAAAGATTTATTAAAGAAAGATGTATTGTGAGTTGGTACCCTTAAAATGAGTTTTCTTGAAGAGCGTAGAGGTTCCCCTGGAAGCCCAACAAAACTAAACTTCTCCTTTGGGTCAGGAGGAGTAGAAGTGTGAAATAAGACACAGTACATAATAGAAAGAATATGCAATGTCCCGGCGAAATTGGATAGGTAACAACTTGAGACGTGAGCGAAATTCTGAAATATGGTCAAATTTGCGCAATCCAAATATGAACCGAATACTAGTATTTTGAAGTCTCTCAAGCTTAGTTAGCTGGTCTTTAGTTATGTCTACATAGCTTGCATCAGCATAGTCGAGAATCGGAAGGAGAAGAGACTGTGCGATTTACCTTATGATTATGACGCATGAAAAAGCTCAAAGTCGTTTTGCAAGCTATGTAGGGGGCTATTTTCTGGATTGATTTGCGAAACATAATATTTATCTAAGATATCAGCAGAACGAGAGTTACCGATATCGTCCAAGGTATCACACATAACTCGAAGAACCGATAACCCTCGAGATATGTGTTCGGTTGGTAGAAAGGTTCCCGAGTGGTAACCGGATGGTAAGCGAAACAAGGAACCCCCCCTCCATTAAATTAAAGCCGAACTGTTATGTAAAACATGCAGAATGTTGATGTATTTAGGTGGCTCAAAACCGTGACAGACGTTGCTGAGGTCTATGTTCAGCTGTCGATGGGGTTGTTATAGAAATCCCAATATTATTATTGACGCCAAAGGCGCCGCGAAATTTATTTTACACGCACCAAATTTGGGTCTTGCTCCGCCCCTGCTTTCAGCTTCCTTATATGGCCAGCAAAAAAATGTAACAAAATTCGTATAAAAAGAGTTATTAATAATGTCCTCCAGACCGAATTTCGACCACTGCGGCCTGCTTCAACGGAGACTAGCCATCGCTAGCAGGACAGGATTATAGTGCCCAAGTGTATGCGCAAGCACAGGTGCACTCTCTATTCCATCACTCTCGTAATCCGATGGGACGGTAAATCGACACGACCGGAGAGAGCTCAGACGCAGGACCAAGGGCTTTACGTGCTTTAGGAGGCACGGGGGTGAGACACCGCCAACTTCCTGACTCCGGGCAGCTACTGAGAATTTCTTGACGGAAAAAATTAAAGTAGGTTAAACTTAAGGAAAAAGTAGAGTTATTGTAATGTAAGGAATAGTGTGATAATAATCGTTAGTTATGAGTTGGTCGCTTCCGACGTTTTTCTAATATGACTAGTACAGTTAATTATGCAACATAATACAAATATGAATGTAAACTGTTCTTTTAAAAGATATCCTGGGTTTCTTGCTGATTCTTTCCAGGAGACGGGTATTTTCCGAACCAGTAATTAAATTAAACTTCATAATGCCTTGTAACAAGTATATTTAATAATATATATTTATTTCTTTTGAGAATAAAAAAATATCTTTAACCATAATAATATATATTTATGTAGGATTGTAAAATAGTATAGCTATACAGGCAGGAGTGATAGTGAGCGAGAAAGAATGCGTGTGAAAGAGATGACGAATGGATTGACAAAGGCAATATGGCGATAACCGTGAAACGATAAGAATGTTGCTCCCTGTGTTTTTACGAAAAAAAAAAAGACTTTTCTGGATAATCCGCATTTTTCTCATCCCCCAATTCTACATTTAATTAAAAAAAAAATTGTTTAATTATCTACGAACAATACAATTTCAGGTACAAAACCGGTTTTACGATCATACCAATTTTGGTTGGATCGTTAACACCAGAAAAAGAAGCGAAGTAAGTATTGTTTAATATACTACTTTTCAAAACAATATATTACTTAAGCTGTTACGTTTTTAATACTTAAAATTGGTGATGTTCCATCTTAAATAGGAGAATTGTTATCGTGTCCACTTCCAATTCTTTTGTCAAGGACTATTTTTACAAATCTTTTGTAAACATTTTTATGGTTTTATGGCAAATAGAAGTGATAAAAAACTAAACACTTGTCTTAATACGCATTCGAATCAAACGGTTTGCTTAGTCATTCGTCATGTGTACTGTTATATGGTGTCACAATTTGCCAGCATCTGTCTTTTCATTGGAATATAACGTTGTTGTCTACAAGACAAGAGTGAATAGGCTTTTGTTAATTTGTTGAATATGCTATGTTAGTGTCCTTTACATCTTTGATTGCGTCACCATTTGCCATCAGGTGGACAAATTGTCAAGCGCTGACTTAGAATAGTAAGAAAAATCCGGATTATACTTGTCATATATTCAATAAATCAATCGAAACTATTAAAATAAAAAAACATACACGTGCGTGCGAGCGTGTGCGCACACACACGCACTCATTGTCATCCCGCAATAAAAAATATTCTTTTAAAAAAATTATTTGATTACTGCAAGGATGAAACACTTTAACTCCCCAAACTGCAAGCGTCCAAATTTGATCGCTTCGATATTCCGTTAAAATTCAAGAGGTCAAATTTGACCGCACCCACGCACAGAACTTTAACCAATAAATACTTATGTTTAGAGACTACTTTTCTATGAAGAAGTATTATAGAATCAATATGAAATTTTCTATCTTCTAGTGGAATAAAAAGTTAGGTAGTCTGTGGATATTTATTTATAATCTACGTTCATTTCGTACGCCATTTTCGTATGAATGTTATTGTGTTGCATTTTTGGATTTTTCTAGTGTTTTATTAGTATTTTAGCATAGTGTTTTATTATAAATTTGTAATAAAAGTTTTTGTATGAATATAATTTATCTTTTTACCTAAATAATTTCGAGATATTGAAATAATTGTGATTTTTACTCTGCCGACATCCGCTTGGTATGGTTTTTTTGTTATCAAAATACAATAAAATCTTTTTGTCATGAAGTAAAACCTGACTTTTGTTTAGACCATAAGATAGAGAATTTTGTATAGATTTTATAATGCCAAACTTCTTCATAAGACCGATTTACACTTCGACAAGTACAGTAACGAGTTTAGTTACAGGGCAGTTGACAGTAAACGGTTAAGTGGGCAGAAGCGTTCAAACAATGTCATCGTGGTGAGTTTAGTTAAGGACATTAGTTCATAGAGTTCGTTGGAGTATGACGTTTCAAGACTACAGAATTTTTTTGGTTTTCGTTTAAGATGGTTCTAGGATTACGTCAAGATTTTTTTTTTAAATTAAATGATCCAGTCTGAGAAGTATTAATGGTTGTTGTTAAAGAAGTTTTTAAAAATGTTCATGAGTGCAGCATCTCGAGCAGGTTTAATTTTACAATTTGAACTTGTACTATTATATAAACATTCGTGTTCTAAATGTTTATATAATAGTACAAGTTAAAATTGTAATACAACACACTCTAAATACACACTAAATATAAGTTTTAATGGTTTAAAGTGCTGTGGGTGGGTGTGGTCGTCACAACCCTCGAGCGGACGCATGCGACTGCATGGGATTTTAATGGGGATTGAAGGGTTAATTACCTGTTTTGGCATTTGTAAATAATTGCAAATAATTCGGTATATGCCTGATTGACGACCACGACGTATGAATGCTGAACCGAGACTGGTGTAGATCTCTTTCGTGAGAAGATCTACACCAGTCTCACTTCAACATTAAAACTCAGCTAACACAATCCACGACATTCTTGATATACAGAGGTGGTCAACTAAACATATTAGGAATAACTATAGTACGTGAGTTACTAGGCTGCACTAAAAATATCGGGAATGGAATATTTCCACTGTTCCTGTCATATTAAAATTTTTAAAAATCGAATATCATTTATTTATTTAAAAAAAGATTCTCGGTCTTGTCACAAGGTTTTGTCAAACTTGTTTAGTCGTTGAGAAAATGGAATTGACTCGAGAAAATTCGAGAGCGATGATTTATTATGACTTTCGAAGTGGTAACACACTTTGAACATAAAAACAGTGTGTTGACCGGATGATTTCTGCATTTGGTGATGAAGCCCCATCCAAAACCACAATTTATCGCTGGTTTGCTGAATTTCAACGTGGACGTGTCAAGCTCAGTGATGATCCCCGTCAAGGTCGTCCAAAAACTGCAGTCACCCAAGAAAGCGTTGATGCTGTGCGTAAGCTGATTGAGGAAGGATCGACATGTGACATACCGTGAAATTCAGGCAACTTTAGAAATTGGCATGAGTCAAATACAAATAATCTTGCATGAACAATTAGGTGTAAAAAAGTTGTTTTCCCGATGGGTACCGCATTCGCTCTGTGAAAAGCAAAAAGCGGCTCGCGTTACTTGGTGCGTCGAACTCTCGAAAGATTCCACGCAGGATCCTCAAATGCTGTATACAACATCGTATCAGATGACTAATCGTGGATATACGCGTACGAACCCTAAACAAAAAACCAGTCACGAGTTTGGGTGTTCGAAAATGAGTTAAAGCCAACAAAAATTGTTCGTTCACGGAGTGTTGCAAAAAAAAATGGTGGCCACGTTTGTCTCCAAAACCGGCCATGTTACGACTATTCCTCTTGAGGGACAAAGAACGGTTAATGCAGAATGGTATGCTAGCATTTGTTTGCCACAGGTCGTTTCTGAACCCCTCTGTAAAGAGAACTGCAACCGCCGCATCATCCTCCATCACGACAATGCGAGTTCTCACACCGCACACAGAATAAGAGAGTTTTTAGAGCAAGAAAACATAGAATTATTAGACCATCCGCCGTACAGCCCCGACCTAAGTTCTAATGATTTCTTTAATTTCCCTAAAATAAAGAATAAATTGCGTGGACAGAGATTTTCATCACCTGAAAAAGCTGTGGACGCCTACAAAACGGCCATTTTGGAGACCCCAACTTCCGAATGGAATGGTTGCTTTAATGATTGGTTCCATCGTATGGAAAAATGTGTCAAATTTCGCGGAGAATACTTCTAAAAGCAATAAATACATTTTTAAATAGTAATGTTGTGTCACTTCCTTGATTCCCGAAATTTTCAGTGCCGCCCTCGTAATACGGTCATCCGGTTAATATGGTCGCTTTCTTATAACTCAAAAACTACAGCCTTGTTTGTATAAATGGCGCTGTGATACGATAGCTCTTCATCAGTCAATCAAATAGCAAAGGGTGAAAAGGGCGCTGCTTTATCGAAGCTATTTTGACAGTATATTTTAGTAGATTTTAGTATTGTGTAGTGTAGCTAGTTTTTTTTTAAGTTGATTTTTTAAGTGTTTCTAATTAGTGCCAAAGCTTGTTTGCTGTTTTTAGTTATAGTATACGCTTTTAAGTTTTTGGTACTGTCCTCCTCCTAGTTTTGGTTTTAAAGGGCGGCAAAGCTTAAGATGACCATATTACACTCACATACCTTATAACTAATTCCGGATATAACTCGTATCCGCGGTTCGAGACAACCATGATTAGTATCCGTATCAGTATCCTTGCTCTTCCTTACCACTCTATAAAGGCCAACAGCTGGACATGAACTACTGTCGGAATTTGTCGCCAAATATGGCAGGCGAATTAACGATTAAGACTAATTCTCCCTATAATAGAGGCCCATACATAATAGTAGATTTTTATGAGGCGACGTGAAGATAGAAGGGTGACGCCGCGTAATGGAAACGTACTTTCATCACCAGATACGGTGCAATCCTGGCCCCGTATTTGGCGGACCCACAGAACTTGCTGGTGATTTCCTCCGACTTCTGTCACTGGGGTTCACGCTTCCGGTACACGTGGCGCGACTCCTCGCGGGGACACATCTATCAGAGCATCGAGTGGTTGGATAAACAGGTGGGTTATGTTTTTGAAGTAACAACTTTTTTAGAATGAAACAAAAAAGGGACACTAAAAAGAGACAAACATTACATCTATAGTATTTAGCCGGCGGGAGAATGAGATAGAAGATATTCTGCATTCGTCTCATTCCCTCAAAGTTTAGTTTTTAAAGTTTTCACTTCTACCGCGTGCGAACTGCACACATGTTTTTTTGAAGTGAAAACTATCTTGCACGTTGGGCACTTTTGGGATGGGGAAAAGCACTGAACTCGCGTGACCAACACGCTCAGATGCACAGATGTTTGTGTATATATTATTATTTTGTATGTTTGTATATAGATAATAATCACTATTTTTCATGTAAATCAGCGTAATAAATAAGAAAAATATTAATACGTAATAAAAATAGTAATAATGTCTAATAAAAAATACTTCGTTATTATCCAAAAAATAATGTTTACAAGTTTGTGAATCTAAGAAGTTTTCACATCTGACGTGCAGTCCTAGGACTGACAGTTTTTTTTTTTTTTGTAAAACTGAATTGATAAACGACGTTGAAGAGAATATCTGTAACAAAATACATCCCGTGGTAGTCGTAAGAGGCGACAAACAGAAAATTGCGGTAGCCATCCCGCAGACTAAGGCATATAGTATGCAGGGTGGGACCCCCCACACTTTGTGACAATAGATATAGAGTAGGACTTTTCATAGGCTGTAACGTTGAACGAATTTATAGTTTTACAAATATAGGGTATGTTCCAAAATAGAACCCAGTGTACTGTCCAATGCAAATGACGTAATGAATCGACGCCATACTGGTGATTCGTTCCAAAACATAGAACAATTTATGACGTCATATATTTGCGCTATATTGGAAAAGTGGTGGCGATTATTTTGTCATTTTGTACTCCGAAAATCATTATATCCAGTTTTTTTTTATTATATGTTATTATATTATACTATAATTTTTTATATTTGAATAAATCAAAACAAATTCTGGCATGCTTCATTTAGCGTACATACATTTAAAGATTGTTTTAACATGTCGGGATCTCCGCACAATATGGCGGCGGCACGCCAGTACAATATGAGGTCAATTAATGATGTCAGTATACTGGAAACATTTCGGAACATACCCATAGCTTGATTAGAATGACAGCTGTCATTCTGATGTGACTGGTGCTGGAAACATTAAATCGATATATCAATAAAGAATTCATAAATATTAATAAAAGATATGCACCCAATTCTTATTTTAACTAAGTATTTAGACACTGGGACTCATTTTGGCCTTATAAAAAAATTGGCAATAATAAATTTATTGACACAAGGGTGCTGTACATCCTAAGTCACAATCATGAACGGATTTGGAAAATTATTTTTTTTATTTCAAAGGGCATACGTCTCAAATGGTCCCATTAGAATTTTTTTCGAAACTGGTCGAGCTGTTTTAAAAAAAATCAACAATCAATTATATTTAATTTGAAGTCGGTTATACAATTTTTTTAATTTTACCACATTTGTTAAATAATCATTAGCACCCACGGAAGTTCAGCGTCGAAGTACTCTGTCAGTACCTAAGACTATACTTACTGAGTTGGGTACCATTTTAGTAACCATTTACCAAATTTATAATATGTTATTCATCATCATCATCATCATCATCACAGCCCTTCACAAGTCCACTGCTGAACATAGGCCTCCCCAAGTAATGCCACAAAGCACGGTCCTGAGCCACCTGCATCCATCGACTTCCTGCATATCTTACCAGGTCGTCACTCCATCTAGTGGGGGGTCGCCCTACACTACGCCTACCGGTACGAGGCTGCCACTCGAGAACCTTTCTTCCCCATCGGTTATCGGTTCTTCGAGCTATATGGCCGGCCCATTGCCACTTCAGCTTACTAATCCGTTGGGCTATGTCGGTCAATCTGGTTTTACTGCGGATATCCTCATTTCTGAGTCTATCACGCAGAGAAACTCCGAGCATAGCCCTCTCCATAGCTCGCTGAGCGACCTTGAGCGTCCTCATACGGCCAGCAGTGAAGGACCACGTCTCTGATCCGTAAGTCATCACTGGCAACACGCACTGGTTGTACACTTTAGTTTTCAGAGATTGAGGTATACCTGACGAGAAGATATGTCGTAATTTCCCGAACGCTGCCCAGCCGAGTTGAATCCGTCGATTGACCTCTCGGTCGAAGTTGGACTTACCTAGTCGGAATATTTGTCCCAGGTAAACGTACTCGTCAACAACTTCGAGCATAGTGCTCCCAACAACTACCGGCATAGGTGTGACATGGAAATTAAACATAATCTTTGTTTTGTCCATGTTCATCTTAAGACCTATCCGTTGGGAGGCACTATTGAGGTCATTGAGCATAGTGCTTAAGTCCTCCAGCGATTCTGCCATAAGGACTATATCGTCGGCAAATCGAAGGTGAGTGATGTACTCGCCATTGATGTTAATACCGTATCCTTTCCAGTCCAGTAGCTTGAAAACGTCTTCCAAAGCAGCGGTGAAGAGTTTCGGGGATATAACGTCACCCTGTCTTACACCTCTCTGCAGTTGGATAGGTTTCGAGCTCTGGTTCTGTACTCGGATAGCCATCGTAGCCCTACTGTACAAACACTTCAGCACTTCGATATACCGACAGTCAACTTGGCACCGCTGAAGGGACTGCAGCACCGCCCAAATTTCGACGGAATCAAAGGCTTTCTCATAGTCCACATACGCCAGGCAAAGTGGCAAATTGTACTCTTCAGTCTTCTGTACAATCTGCCGCAGGGTATGTATGTGGTCTATGGTACTGAAGCCTTTTCGGAAACCGGCTTGTTCGGGAGGCTGGAAGTCGTCGAGTCTGCGTGCGAGACGATTCGTAATGACTCTCGAAAACAGCACGTAGACGCGGCTCAGAAGGGAAATCGGTCTGTAGTTCTTCAAGAGAGCGTTGTCGCCTTTCTTAAAGAACAAGACCACCGCACTTCTGCTCCACGCCTCTGGAGTAGTGCCACCATGGAGGACGGAATTGATCTTGTAGCAATTTGCTTACAATAATATGTTATTATTGTAAGCAAATTGCTACAAGATGTTAAACAAACTTATTTCCTTTCTTTCTTTCCTTCTTTCTTTCTATAAAGGTGGCCTATATTCAGCAGCTGACTTTTGATAGGCTGTAATCTATAAATAATAAAATGTCTAAGCTTAATAATTTGAATTTTTTGCCTTTAAAAAGCATTTCGTGGTTTCCAGGGTATGGATATCATAGAGAAGATGGACCCACGCGCGTTCACCGACTACCTCAATAAATATGGTAACACCATATGCGGCCGGCATCCTATCGGAGTACTATTGCAGGTATTTGACATTTTAAACATAAACATTGTTTAACTTTTCATTTCCCGACGTTTCGGATGTTTTACAGCACCTAGAAACTGAAGAGTTAACTATAACATTGGGAGGTCAAACACCTCAGACCCCGCCGTGACCATGGGTGCTGTGAAACAGAAATTAAAAAGTTAAAACATAATATATTAAAAAAATAAACATCTCCAGTTTATTTTACATAAAACCTGCAGCTTAACGCAGAGATAATGTCATTCCCATAAATTTTTATTTATAGTTGTATATTAGCGTTAACAGTTATATCCTTCACCAGTCAACTGCTAAATATAGACCTCCACCAAGGAATGCCACAAACTACGGTCCTGAGCAACCTGCATCCATAGACTTGCTGCATCTCTTACTAGGTCGTCACTCAATGTAGTGGGGGGCCGCTTTACACTTAGCTTACAGTACCGTTACGAGCTTGGGGTTCGTGACAGTAAAAACTGCCGATTGAATTACCAAAATTGAGACTTTAATTACCGAACACCAATTAAAACTTAAAACACACTAACAAAACACACCCCAAAAAAAATCACCAGTTGTTTGTATTGCCAATTCAATACTGACTTGGGTCGTGGCATATTCGCTTGTTTTGCCAATTCAATACTGACTAGGGTCGTGGCATATTCGCTTATATCACCAATACTATAGGAATATATAGGCCTTTTCCACTGAAACATCTAGAATGTTCGAGCACATACCGGTCCCGACCAACTAGGTGTAGAAAGTTCTAGCATGGAATTTTCTAGAAAGCTACAGGATACTAGATGGCGCTAGTGCCATGTACCAGGCATTAATTAAGGCGCGCAATAGTACCATTGTACCAGACAAAGCTGTCACTCGACAACTGTTCTCATTTTAACAAATAATTATCATTTTTTACCCGACTGCAGAGGGCAATGTTTTAATCAGCCGGTACATATGTATGTTTGTTCCTTTGTGGCGCTCTAGAGAACAAACGCTTGGCTCGTTTTTGATGATTCTTACCTCAATCGATTTGTATTAATCTTATGTGTGTGTGTCACTAAAAAGATGATAGTAATTAAAATTCAATATGGCGAGGTTGTCTCGCCATATTGAATTTTAATTACTATTATGTCTTTAGACGCCATATTGTGAGAAAGAAAAAAAAATGAAAGTCGATGAACTATGTCAAGTGGGGTATCATTGATTAGGTCTTTGAAAACCATATTATTTCCCTAGTCATTTTTCATTTTTAATGTCCATTTAGGATCTATCACGAGTTAAAGTTGGTTGGCGACCATTCTCGTTTAAAGTTTTCAAAACTTATATTAATGATGTGATAAAGTTTTGTTTTTGCTATCGTATAATGGGCACTATACGTAATTTTTACGCAGTCAGGTTTTTTTTTAAAACGGTGTTAACCTTGTCTGATAAATAAACCAATGTTTTAATCCTTGTTACAGGCGATAGCTAAACTGCGGAGCCAGCCGAACGCTCCAAAAATGTCCCTTCAATTCCTCAAGTACGCGCAATCATCTCAGTGCATGAATCACCAGGACTCCTCAGTTTCCTACGCAAGTGCCTCCCTTGTTTTCGAGTAAAAATAATATGTAAAACCATAGAGTACTGATAAAAACTTTATTTAAAAATCGTTGAAGTATAAAAATTTAGGATAAAGAAATATCCTGTATTCGAAAGTATAGAGATCGTTATTTGAAAGTAGAAACAATGTTAGTGATACCAGCCTTCCCTTTCTATTATTATACAAAAATATTTACATTTTATGCATGATAAAATATAGAAACTTGACTGTACTTTTATATATATTAAGGCGAAAAATAGTATTCTAGTATTTACTTGCTCAGTTAATTAATTACACTTCACTTTATGCCGGATTTTCTACTGTAGGGGATATTTACGTCTAATGAAAAAAGGTTCTATAGTGTTTGTACCTTTATCTCGCGTTCTTAATGATATTTTTTTTAATTTACATGAGTTTTTTGGTTCTTCCATGATTTTCATAAACGAACCAACGGACAACTAGTGTAGAATTTTAATTAATATGTTATTTAAAAGTACGAGTATAATGACATTATCATTAGATTTTCTACAAATTTATCGTATTTTCACTATAGTTTTGTTTATATATAGTGTCACAAAATATCTAGAAGGTATCTGTAATGCCTCTTAGCACCGCTTAAGAAATGTTGATATCCCACACATATTTACAAATGAAAGAGTGTATTATAAAAAGTGTTTATGTATCATCTTGTATATCAAAGCTATAGCTATATAGGAGTTTTCTAATTTTTATAATTAACAAAATACGTAGGGTTCGCAAATAAACAACACCTTTTGTATTGTTATTTGATAATAAATAACTTACAACCTTCTGTTTTCAAATTAATTTATATTTTAAGCAGATAGTTTTAATATATTAAAATTTAGGTATATATAGAATATCAAAGGCATCTCTTTATTTATAGTTGTTAAGTTTTAAGATAAAATTCTGTTCTCGTGCACACAAAAGATTATATGCAAATCGTAATTAAAATATTTAAAATATTTGTTACTGGCAACATTTTGCTTATAAAACAAATAATGCAAAGAGTCTGATGGGATAGAACTTACTTTAAGATCGCATTATCTATACTATATACCAACTGTAGCAATGTGTTAAGGAATACGTTAGAAAGGGAAACAGCCTTTAATAAAACAGAGGGTATTTTGCATTTGCATCTCCAGTGTCCGGATTGTTGCTTCTGTATTATCGTATAATAATGGTTTGAAGTGGAGTTTGATGTGCAAAAGTGATGCGATTTTGTGTATTAAATGTCTGCGCATGTCAACTGTTAGTCTATAGGTCTCAAGCTTCGATCAATGATTGTACTAGATTAAGGATCAGGAACAAAAATAAGTCGCTCAAGTGGCCACGTTTGCACACACACGTAAACATCTATATTTCTTACTATGAAATATTGAAAAAAGATGAAAAATATTAACAAATTCAGTTTATTATAAACCTTATCACTCAAACTTAAAGTTTAAATGCCATTGCAAAGTATGTTTATTTAAGTTATGGCATCCGACAAAGATACCGTTTGAATATAAAAAGTCATAAGTACACAAATATTTATTCTAAAATAAAACTTAAAGTTTTGTGCTTACTCTACTTTATTCCTGGTATTACATTTCAATGTTCATTAAAATGGCTATGATTGGACCATACTAATTTGAAATAAGACCACAAAAGTATTTGTGGTCTTATTTTTCGGGCCGTTTTTGAAGCGCTTATCGGGAATCTAGTAGTATTATTGATCGAAGGTTTCGACTCTTATTCGCCTAGGCAGCTTGTTCTATCAAAATCTAAAACTGGCATTTCTTTAGTAATCTGCAGCATGAATATATGGTCGTCGAGTGGGCGGGGGAGGGGTAGGAACCTCCCCCTAAAAGGGGGAAGTGCCGGAATCCCCCCTTTTTTTATGAATTTTTAAAGTTTTGTTACACATTAAAGCAAAAGCGCTGGCGCTTATTAAAAAGGTCGTCCGGCACACATCTGTCACATTCTGGTCCCGGTGGGAATGTGGGAGTTTTCAGGGTGGGGAAAACAACCGCGGAAATTAACACTATTTTGATTCTGCTTCTGCTTCAGCGCTGCGGCAAGTGCAGCCTCTTTGCCTTTGCGTAACTAAACACAGCTCACCTGCACAGCTTCGGCTCGTACGCTGCCTGCGCTTGGTTACAGCGGGTGAGTGTTGCTTACACTCTCCGCTTCCGGGTTTTCATGTACACTCTGGGGGTAAGAGCGGAAAGACAACGTGGAAGTCGGGGTTGACAGATTCGTTTTTGTGATTTATATACCCTCTGGTACTAGGGTATGATCAAAAGAAACGACCAAATATAATATAAAAACATTTATCTATAGAAATGGTTAATTGCTTTAATTAATTCCATAAAAGGATCCTTTTTGTTTCTTTGGACTGACCTTCTCTATAAATATTCTGTAATAATATCTGCAAAGTTTTCCGGATGGTTATAACTGTATTTTTTTGAAGAATCTTTTAATCACCCGTCATTGCGATACGATCCTTTGATTGTGAGTGACATCAGGGGCAACAAATGGGATATCAGGATCGGAATGGTTCGATTTCTTGTGAATGTAGAAATGGACTGTGGTGCCCTCAGCCACATGTTTTTTAATTAGTGGCATTAGTACGTCCGCTGACCTGATGTTCTCGGGGCACACCTCTAGTCGCAAGTCTACTTCCATCCTCCATGAGGCCGAGGGTCCAGTGGCCCTCAATCCGCCTTCCTATAAACAACAATAAACAATGTACAGTTATTTATAGTATTCAAAATATTTTGGCTTTAAAAGTAAACTTTAAATAAACAAATTGTTTCAGTCTGAAATATAAGAAAATCAAATACCTTTATTATATTTCCGTTTTCCAAATTTTAATTCGTCTATTTGGACAACTTTTCCTGGGCCATCAGTCTTGCCGATGGCCTTTTGCTGCTCTATTTGGTAAATGACGACTGTCTCCCGGCAGTAATTGTACCAATCGCATACAGTAGCCAAGGATAAACAGCTTCCCTCCATATCTTTTTCAGGGTCTTCATGGATTGCATAAAGATGTGCATAACAGTACATCAGATAGAATACCTGTAGCAATGATATTTTAATATTTTCAAACCAGGTGTCCTTGCCACGAGCTACCCTGGATCGGGCTCTGCAATTTCCTTTATTGCACACAAAGGAGCCCTCATTTTTATTTTGCCCATATTCCACTTTCATTGGCACTCTATGGGTGCGGTACTACTTAGTGGCAGGGATTAATCCATTTCCAACGGCAAACTCCACACACTGCTCTCTGGTACCGAGTTCTCGCACGATTCGGGTTAAATTAAACATTTTTGCTTCTTCTTCCACGTATAAACGCCTGCGTATCTAATCGCCATAAAGCTCCGCGAAGGGTACTGCATACATTGCGGCGGCGTCGCTTACGTTCGTTGGACCGGCTGAACTAGTTGACGGGGTGGGGTCGTCAGCCATCTTGGGTCTCCCAGGTAGACAGGCAGGCAGGCAAAGTCCAAAAAAAACGTGCAGGGGTCGTCGTAGGGCAAACGCGTCCGGTATTCGAGCGCGGGTCTACGTCAAGGTAAATCACAGGTCCAAGAAACAAGCAGAGGTCGAAAGTAGAGCAGGCAGGTAATCGAGGAAGAGTTGGGAGCAAAAAATTAGCGCAAAACATTCCGAGTCCGAAGGCGAAAGTGAAATTGTGACTAAAATAAATGTCGTTTTTCTCATGTTGGGCTTCATGTAACAGTACGATTGCACTGAGAAACATCCAAGACGTAATGTTTAGAAACAAATCGCATAAAATAAATCACACAACATGTTTTGTTGAGTAGCGTTCACACTCACAAAACCTATGAAAATTTTCAACAGACATCCAAACTTATCTTTCAACATGACCATCTTTTTACAAATTTGTTTTGAAACATTTTGTTTCTGCAGTTATAAAGGTATAATATATAGGCCGTCAACGTTGTGCAGTCCGCGCCCACGGGGTACAGGGTGGAGAGGGACGAGGTACCACGCAGTTCGTGCACGAGGCCACGCCCACGGCTACACACGTAGGGATTTGCAATAGAGTTATCTTGAGATTAATATGGATTTATTTGGATTTATTACGAAGTATTGTGTGATGTAGTCATGAATTCGATATAATATTAAATCACTTTATATTATAAAAAAGTCCCCCGCCGCGTTTGTCTGTATGATAAACTCAAAAACAACTGAACGGATTTTCATGCGGTTTTCTCCAATAGACGAAGTGATTCATGAGGAAGCTTTGTAAAATCTGGTACAAGTATAAAATGTAATGCACGCCGAAAATAGAACGAAACGAAAATTGGGGAAATAAAAGATTAATCACCGAATAATAGTAATAATATTTAGTTCTTTTCTGTTTTTGTAAGTTTTTTCTGGGAGATTTGAATTTGGAAGGTCCGCAGTGTCATCCATGGTATTTTTTTCACTGATTATTCTTCTTATTGTTCTTTCCGAGAGCCCTGTTGCTACAGACACGGTTTTTGCCAAATTAATATCGTTCTGGTATTCTTGGGATGATTTATCTTTTTTACGCTCTTTTAAATACATGTATACGTTATACACAATTTCTTTTGATTGTCGTTCAATCGGTTTGCTCATCATCGGATCGTAATCTCGTGTGCGTCTAGTATACAAGTAACCGTTGCAAGCGACCCGGCGACTGGCGCTCCTGAGCACGCGGCGTACTCGCTCGCCCTCCCGCTCGCCCTCCCGCATACCGCTCGCTTCCCCTTTGAGACCGTTTTACCTCGTCCTTGCCAGCCTCTGTAGCCCCGCGGGAATTTGACAGTCTATAGTTAAAATATGTAACCGTGGTTTAACATCGTATATTAGAGTAGGATAGCGCTATAAACAGATCATACAAACCATACTATTGCTATCTCTTTCTAATGATTATATTGTTGTTGCGTGTTATTTTTTAAAACAGATACAGACCATGCTCTATTGCTAACTATTTTTAATAATCATATTGTTATTTCGTTTTCGTATCATTTTTAAATGGATATAACCTCAAAACTATAATTATCGATATCTCGAAAACTAAAGACTTCCACCATAAAAAGCAGCTAGATGATAATCAATAGCATCATTGCCTGTCAACTAAAGCTAAAATGATCACTTAAATCGTGCCGCAGATTACTAAAGCCAACCCAAATCTATTTTAATGTTAATAATCCTGGGGTTAACTGAGAATTTGTTTTAACGTACCAAAAATTTTTTAAGTATTCACAAAAAATGTCGCAGAAATAATTTGAGCTAGCGTTAAGGTTGTGTAGGTATATCTTATTAATTGCCTCACTTTAAATAAAAAAATAAAGAGTACAAATGTAATTGATAACGGTTATCGATAGTGATGTCGCAGACAGATGACTTTATACCAGTGTAAATTAAACCAAGTTCAAAATGGTTTACATTTCAACAATGTAAGATAAAATCCAGTCGCCATTTTGTGAAATAATTCTATCAATTCAAGGCATGAGTAAATTAGAAGTAGGAAAAGTTAGAGCTAAGAGCGAACGTAATGTAAGAGTGTGATTTTTGGTGTGAAAAATTCTAAACTATAGCCTCATTTAAAAGGCAGTTTTGATTATTGTAATGCGAATATACTCGGTCTCAAATAAAAGCATTTATTTTGTACATGTATGTGACAGAATCTTAATTAAATTTTATTTGCTACAAATGTGTTTCATTATAACTAACTATCCTGAAAAATCTTTATATAATAAACGTTGCGTATGTTATGTTAGTGATTGTGTAGCTTCTGAATCTTTGTGTCATGACACGACGACGGCAAAATGACGATCATTAGTATTATAGAAAACTATAAAACCGGTAAGTATCGGGCTGATCGTGGAAGAGAGACGAGAAAAAAGGTTTCGAAAATTGGTTCATATGTATGAAACTTGGTATAGAAGATGAGGGAGAGTTCTTTTAAAAGAATTTAAAGATGTATCTTATTTTTTGGTTTCGCAAAACTTTCTGAGTGGCCCTCGTTTAACAATCTGTGGTTATATTTGACACGAATATTTATATAATCTATACTTTGACATCTAAATATTATGACGCAAAATTTTCAGCGTATTTTAGAAATTTTAAAGCCAAATCTATCAATAAATTCTCTAGTATGTTAATAATAATAAAGTCCGGTTGAACGACATCATGGACACTATAAACACAAAATTGAAACAGTTTGTCAACGACAACAAATTAGAGTGTAAGAGACTAAACGAAAAATATAAGTCCTGGTATCAACTTGATTTAAATAAAACCAATAATATGTGTTCAACGAAATGTAACAGATACATCCCGGGAAGAGATTTCGTTCCACAACAATTTATAAGTACGAGAAATGTCGAAACTAAAATCGATGAACCTTTAACAGCATTTGAAGCAACCGCAACAAATATTGACTATTTGAACATTTACAAGTTTAAGGCAAATTTTGTAATGAATGTTTTATTACTTTGCGTTATGGTGGTTATTGTTGTATACAGTACATTTTTTGCCTCATTAACAAAACCACATAATGAAAACGTAAGTGTGGAAAGTGAAGTTGACAGTAGATTTTAATAATTACAGTAGATTACAATAAATAGGTACGTTTATATTAAAAATTTAAGCTTGTAAACGTTATCCAAATAAAAATTTATTACAAATGTATATTTATATTATTTATTTAGTATCGCCATTTTGAAAAATAATGTAAGAGGTAAGTAAAAACAATGGCAACGATTTAGCCTCACAGAGCAACACGGCCCACCGGCGGATCGGAGAGGAGCATAGCTGGCGTATTTTGCGATACAGAACTGTCTATTTCTTTGTAATCGAATGAACTGTATATTATTTTTACATATTTTTTACGGGGGGAATCTCTTGGAAATCTGCGCACACAAAAAATATCGTCTGTCACTACCACGAAGGTTAGAGAACAGGAGAACGATCACTACGTACTAAAGCACAGCCCGCCTGTCCTTGAAAATTGTAGAATTTATAGCGGCGCTGACGTCGGTGAGTAGTGACAGCGAAGTTAGCTGTTTATGAGTACAAGTAAATGAAGTTAGTTGAATAATGTACAAATTTTCATTTCATTTTTAACGAGAAAAATGGAGAAATATTTTATTGTGCAGGGATGTGCAAGTGGTTTAGCGTCTCAAAATTACTTTTATTGACCGAACCTCGAGCGATCGCAGCGCCTCACTTATGGTGTCCATATTTCTGGACACTATTTTCTACGGCGATCGTTCTCCTGTTCTCTAACCTTCACGGTCACTACGAAACTCCCACATATAGATTAAAACAATATGCCATGAAATATGCCAAACAATTTCACACACACACACACACACACACACCAACATATATATATATATATATATATATATATATATATATATATATATATATATATATATATATACATCATCATTACAGCCCTTCACAAGTCCACTGCTGAACATAGGCCTCCCCCAAGTAAGAGACAAAGCACGGTCCAGAGCCACCTGTATCCATCGACTTCCTGCATATCTTACCAGGTCGTCACTCCATCTAGTGGGGGGTCGCCCTACACTACGCCTACCGGTACGAGGCTGCCACTCGAGAACCTTTCTTCCCCATCGGTTATCGGTTCTTGGAACTATATGGCCGGCCCATTGCCACTTCAGCTTACTAATCCGTTGGGCTATGTTGGTCACTCTGGTTTTACTGCGACCTTGACCCTGAGCGTCCTCATACGGCCAGCAGTGAAGGACCACGTCTAAGATCCGTAAGTTATCACTGGCGATACGCACTGGTTGTACAATCTAGTTTTCAGAGATTGAGGTATACCTGACGAGATGATGCTTCGTAATTTCCCGAACGCTGCCCAGCCGAGTTGAATCCGTCGATTGACCTCTCGGTCGAAGTTGGACTTACCTAGTAGGACTATTTGTCCCAGGTAAACGTACTCGTCAACAACTTCGAGCATAGTGCTCCCAACAACTACCGGCATAGGTGTGACATGGATATTAAACACGATCTTTGTTTTATCCATGTTCATCTTAATCTTAAGACCTATCCGTTGGGAGACACCATTGAGGTCATTGAGCATAGTGCTTAGGTCCTGCAGCGATTCTGCCATAAGGACTATATCGTCGGCAAATCGAAGGTGAGTGATGTACTCGCCATTGATGTTAATACCGTATCCTTTCCAGTCCAGTAGCTTGAAAACGTCTTCCAATGCAGCGGTGAAGAGTTTCGGGGAAATAACGTCACCCTGTCTTACACCTCTCTGCAGTTGGATAGGTTTCGAGCTCTGGTTCTGTACTCGGATAGTCATCGTAGCCCTACTGTACAAGCACTTCAGCACTTCGATATACCGACAGTAACTTGGCACCGCTGATGGGACTGTAGCACTGCCCAAATTTCGACGGAATCAAAGGCTTTCTCATAGTCCACATACGCCAGGCAAAGTGGCAGATTGTACTCTTGGGTCTTCTGTACAATATGCCGAAGAGTACGTATGTGGTCTATGGTACTGAAGCCTTTTCGGAAACCGGCTTGTTCGGGAGGCTGGAAGTCGTCGAGTCTGCCTGCGAGACGATTCTTAATGATTCTCGAAAACAGCACGTAGACACGGCTCAGAAGGGAGATCGGTCTGTAGTTCTTCAAGAGAGCGTTGTCGCCTTTCTTAAAGAACAAGACCACCGCACTTCTGCTCCACGCCTCCGGAGTAGTGCCACCATGAAGGACGGAATTGAAGAGCTTCTGAAGGACTTCAAGTACCGGTGTTCCACCCGCTTTCAGAAGCTCCGCTGTAATTCCATCCTCGCCTGGGGCCCTGACGTTTTTAAGTTGCTGGAGAGCCGTTCTAATCTCGCTCAGACTGACGTCCGGGGTGTCATCGGAATAGTGTCGGATAAGACTTGCTCTTGGATCGTTACACTTGCGCGTGGCTCCAACGATGATGTGTACAGCTGCCCATAGAACCTCTCAAATCTCACTCAAAATCTCAGATGTCCCGGAAAACGATGCTGCCACACTCAGTCTTCAGCTTTGACAGTTGGCTCTTTCTGGCAGACAGATCTCTGGCAAAGACTTTGGAGCCTTGGTTCCGCTCTATCGCTTCTTTAATACGAGCAGTATCAAAGTGTCGCCGCATGCATTTGAAGATCTGTCTGTTCAGTTGCCTGTATGCTGTCAAATCTGTTGACGATTGCAGCCTCATCTCACGTCTAACAGCCATGAGATTAAGAGTGTGATCGGAGAGTTTTTTGTTCTTCTGCGGTGGGTCTTGCAGAACTTAGCACCGACCGCATAGGCAGTTTCCACAAGCTTGTCATTCATATCGTCCACTGCATTGCAATCTTCTAGGCACTGAAAGCGGTTACGTAACTCGAGCTGAAAGGTTCCAGGATTCTGGACTAGAGCACGAGGGGGACGGAGCGTTGACTTCCTCCAACTTAAGGTTTAGGTTCAGTGTGTCTAACCGTTCCAACTCTAACCATTCGGTGATCGTAGCCAGTTCGTCTGTTCACTACCTTCGTTTCAAAAAGAGTTCATCATAAAAAGTCCCCCTTTCTCCATGAAGTCGGCCAGCTGCTGGCGTCTTGGATTCCGTTGCCCTATCCCGAATTTCCCTACCTTCAGCTCAACTTCAACTTCAACGCAAAACTGGGCACAAGAAAGAATTCTTGTGCCCAGTTTTGCGTTGAAGTCTCCCATTAACACCGTATAGTGAGTTTTGGAGGAATGCATGGCTCTAGAAATGTCCTCATACATTTCCTCCACCTCCTCATCGGGATGTTCCGACGTTGGCGCGTAAACCTGTATGACCTTCAGCGAATACCGTTTGGTGATTCTGAGTATAAGGTACGCAACCCTCGTCGATACACTCCCAATCTTTAAAACGTTGTTAACGAGAGACTTGTGGACGATAAATCCAACACCCTTGGGACAGATGGTCGCCCTCCCGGTGATAGAACAAGTTGCCGGATTTGAGAATCACCGTGTCCTCCCCCTCTTCTTCTCTCATCCTCCTCTCTTCGGACCTCGGATAATCCTATAATATTCCAGCACAACTTGTCTACCTTTTCTTCCAGCTCCAGCTCTCGTCAGTCCTCAGGGTGCGTGCGTTAAATGTTGCCAGGTCGAGTCGTCGTAGGTGGCAACCGAACCTCCACCGGAGATACATAGCACCCCCTGCACCGCCGTTACCATGGTCGCCACCGTAGCCAGGAATAACGGAGCCGCCGGGGACTGGGGGTCGTCTATTTGTGTAATTCTTCATGGGGGGTATATTGCCATAGTTGCCACGCTTGGCAAGTGGCAACCGCAGTTTTTTTTGTACAGTTGTTGTTATCAGGAAGATGCTGCTGCCCATGCCAACTTCAACTGCCTTCAACTTTGGTCATTCAGCCAAATTTTGTCGGGAAAGTAGCCCTACATGTAACTACTGTTGGAGAGCTCGGGCATTCCTTTAAGGAATGTAATAACAAAGCGCATGCCCCCGTTTGCGCGACGTGTAAACGTTTTAAAAGAAAATGCGACCACAAAACTGGTGTAGAAAGCTGTCCAGCACGTAAATTCGCAGAGGACAAATATATCAACTCCATAGACTATGAGGGCGCCTAAGAGCGCCGCGTATTATATTATTTACTTAGCTGTTAGCTATTAAACACTAGTTTTAGTTTATCTTTAAGCTTAAGTATGGCGAATCAATTACTCAATGACCTAGACAACTTTTCTGTATCTGACGCCAAAACATGTAATGTTGATGACTGTAAACACTTCCTTCCACGTCCTGAAAATAAGTTAATCTTACTTACACAAAATATTAGAAGCATAAATCGGAATATAACCGGGTTTGAAGTTTTGTTACATAGACTGGATATAAAATGTGATATTATTATCCTTACAGAATGTTGGCTGTCAAACCTCCCATCCCACCTACCGATTCTAAATGGCTATTCTTTACACAAAACCGAGAAAAACATTAATCAAAATGACGGTTTAGTAATCTATGTTAAAAATAATTTAAAAGTAACTGTCACAGAACCTTCATTCTAGGATAGTAATTGCTTAATCATTCGAATTAATTCCGAGACGATTGTTATCGCAGTTTACAGACCTCCTTCACAAAATATTGATAGATTTCTAGAGTCCCTTGATATTACCTTAAGCAATTTTAGCACATATAAAAATATAATCCTAACCGGTGACATAAATATTAACATTACCCCTGGGAAAACAGATAACCATGCACATAACTACCTTGCTCTTTTCATGGGCTATTACCAACACATTACTACCCTACAAATCAAAGCGGCTCTTGTTTAGACCATTTTGTGATTAAATCAAATAACCCTTCTTTAACATTAGTTACTAATTCCTCGCTTACTGATCATCAAGCAATTTTACTAAACTACACTAAAGTTCATATGACGAACCTTGAAGATGGCATTCGTAGCATTAATTTTGACTTTGTTTATTGCTCTGACGATACAAATACGTCTTTGAGTTACTTTATAAATTCTTTACAATACGCAATAATGAATAATACATCAACAATAAAACTGTCACGTAAGTATTATAATATTAAACCTTGGTCAAACACCTGGTCTCGTCCGCTGTATAAGAAATAGAGACAAACTTCATTTAAAATCTAAACTTTCTCCTGATAATTTAATACTTTCTGCTACTTATAAAAGATATAGGAATTTTTGCAATAAACTATTAAAAAACCTCAAAATACAATATGATAAAAATGTTTTACAAAAGGCCGGTAAAAACAGTAAACTTGTATGGAAGTTCATTAAAAATAATACCTTCAGTTCAAAAAATCTTGGACCCCCACTTGATCTACTGTCATTAGACAAAAGCTCAAACGAAGCAACTAATAAAGTAAAATTATTTTATTAATGTTGGCAAAAAAATAGCAGAGACAACTTTAAAATTAAGCAACACTCGTAATCCAGTTTTTATGCCCACATCCTTTTCTAAGTTAAATTCTTTTGTATTGTTAAATACCGCTATTGATGAGATTTTAAGCATAATATCTGGCTTAAAAGAAGATTGTGCAGTTGGATGGGACAATATACCTAATCGCATACTCAAAAGATTTAAACATTTACTGGTCGCCCCGTTAACACATATCTTTCAATTATGCCTATCAAATAGTATTTTCCCGAAAGTGCTCAAAAAAAGCAGTGGTTTCTCCTATTTACAAAGCTGGTGATAAAAACTTAGTTAGTAACTATAGGCCGATTTCAGTCTTATCTGGCTTATATAAAATTTTAGAAAAGATCATAAATACCTGGTTAATAAAATACCTGGAAACTAACAACTTGCTGTCAGACAGACAATTTGGTTTTAGGCCTAAGAGGTCATGCAATGATGCCTTGCACCAATTGACAGATTACGTCACAAGTAATCTAGACAACGGTATGCACCCAATTTGGATCTTTTTAGACCTTGCCAAAGCATTTGATACTATATCTTGCACTATACTATTGCAAAAGCTTGAAACACTTGGCATAAGGGGAACTCAACTACAATTTTTTTTTGCTTTCAATGTGTAAAAATCGGTGAGTATACAAGTACTGAATTATAAAACAGCTCTTATGGAATCCCACAGGGCAGTATCCTGGGGCCTACATTGTTCCTAATTTATATAAATGACTTATGCAATCTTCAACTTCAAAATGGTGTCATTATGTCGTATGCAGATGACACAGCCCTGTTATTCTCAGCTAAATCACGAATGAGGTTTATAAATACGCTCGGCAAGGCTTTAACATAGTATCTAATCGGCTTCTTAATAATCTGCTACATTTAAACGCTGATAAAACACAATATATGTTATTTTTAATGAGAAATAATAACATACCTACTCACCTAAATATTTACGCTCATAATTGTAACTCGTATAATGACACTGCATGTGCATGTTCCGCATTAACAAAAACAGACAATATAAAATATCTAGGTATCACGCTTGACACAAATTTAAATTTCCGCAAGCACATCGATTTACTTTGTGCTAGAGTTCGTAAATTAATATATATTTTTAAATATCTTCGTAACATCGCTGACTTCAAATTGATAAGACAGGTCAATCCATACTCAAGGCTTTGTGTCAATCCATACTCACTTATGGCATTACCACCTGGGGTGGAGCTTCTAAAACAATATACTCCCATTAGAACGTGCTCAGACAGCAGTTTTAAAGGAAGCCACTTTCCGTCCATTCATGTTTCCTACACATCTACTTTACTTGGCATGTAGTGTACTAACTGTCCGTCAGTTTTTTATCCTGAACATCATATTAAAACAACATACCGAACTTCCATTTAACTTAAAATCCATAGACAGGAGAAGAATGGACTTAGTTTGTGTAAACCCTCAAACCAAACACGCATTTGTGAACAAATTTTACATATTTTTAGGACCCTTTCTATATAACAAGCTCAACAAGTCACTAAAGGTATATAGTCTAAGTTATAAGAACTGTAATATAAGTGTAAGGGAATTTCTAAATAAATTAAATTACGAAGACACAGAGAAGTTGTTAGAAATTCTAAAATAGTTTGTATTAATTGTAGGTAACAATTAATTGTTATTTTGTTATATAGTTATTTTATTTATTATATAATATAGTTTAATTATTTAAATATCTAGTGTCCTACATTATTAAAACCCATTGTGTAAGTGATGTCTGAAACACAGGTACTCAACCTAGTTCAGGCAGGTAGCTAATATTATAAATTTGACTTTTTTATTTTTCTTTTGTATATTCTACATTATTAAGCTACACATAGTTTTAATTTTATCATAGTATGTTATTTTGTTAGACTTATTGTTACTTTATTTAATTGTAATCAAAAGTATTACTTGAATTAAATAATAAAAATATTTATTCCTGTATGTAAACATGTGTAATTGGAAATGAAATAAATAAATATTTATTATTATTTTACGACACCCAT